ATTGCTAAGCCCTTCTGCTGGAGAATGTCAGTGTAGCATACAGCTCAAGATATTTAACACAGTCCCCCTCTGAGAACCAGGATAAGCGCTTTACAGGAAAACAACCAACTTCTCAACTGTTCATTGCTGTGGCCTATTCCACCTCTGTAATACTGCCTGTAAGCACCCAGTATATGTAAGCCCATGCAAATACCGATACCTGCACAAATCCACAAGCATTTTGTCATTTTTGGCATCTTCTAACAGATCTGTTAATTTCCCTGCCCGAGTCAGCACTGGTGCTCAGAGACTGGCCTCACGCATCAGAAAAAAAAAAAAAATAACTGGCGCCCCTTAGTGTTCACATTTTGAAGTCTTGAAGCAATTTAGTAGATTTGCATGAAACATTTTTTTCAACATTCCAAAAAGTTTTCTGCCTCCACAATACTTCCACACAATTGCCAACGTAAACAGGAAAAGCAGAAAAGCTTAAAGGCATAGTAGCCTTCTTCCAGAGACTATTCAGAAACACAGATTGTATTTTATTTATTTTTCTTTTGAAGAAGAGTGTGACGAACAGTTCCAACACAGTCCTTAAACTTCTTCAGCAAGAGTCTTGAGAGCCCTCATTTTGAAACTCCAATACTTCACAAACAGGCTTCCAGAGTTTTCAATATTTCAAAATATATGACAAGATGTAAGTATTTCAGACAATCCTTTTTCAGTGTCCTTTTGCATTGGGAAATGTTTTTCCTTCCTTTTGTTCTCTGGGGAAAAAGAAAAAAAAAAGGCTCCGGGCCTCTTGTGGCCAAATACATTAAGTTGAAGAGATTCAGGAATTTAAAAATCCAGTATCAAGCCTCTGGAAGGCTCATTTGTGCTATAAAAGAATCTTCTCAGTCAAGTTTCTTTGTGATATTTATTGTAAGTCTAACTATTCTGAGGAGGTTGTTTGCTGTGGTGACCAAGAACATAAGTCTTAAATAGTTTTACTTTTCATGTCCGCATGTGCTCCAATATAAATTCAAACTCCTCCAAGAGTCTTGAAAATAAAAATAGAATCTCCCATTACATTGCTTCCCACAGTCCATATTTTGGTATTCTCCACCAGGTTTGTGGTTTGTTTTTTTTAAATTCCTCTATCATTTCTTTCAGAAGGTAGCATTTTCTCGATATGCTTTTTTTGTGTTGTACTACAGTCACTATCTCATTTTTACAGTCTTGGGAGAGGGCGGGGAGTTGTTCTACCAAATATAACCAGTTCTTTCATCTTCAGAGGTCAACAACTTCCCAAACTTCTTTTAGCGAGGAAGAATACGTCCGCAAACAAGAATCCTAACTCCAAATCTTAAAAATCAGTATTTCACACTAAGAATCCCAACAAGTTAAAACTGTATAAATAATTTATGGCCTTATCGTATTCTACAAAGCTATCACATACGATTAAACGAACAGGTCCAACCCTCCAGAAAGCCTAGGTTTAAAGTTGTAAGAAAGGAAACGCCTTGGACAAGAAAAACAAACCTGTGAACCCGAGTATAAGGCGAATTTAAAATACTAAGAACAAGTGTATCACCTTATTTTTAACACAGTGGGTCTGCTACTGTAGTGGAAAAACGTATGGGACACGGTAAGTTCCCAACACATACTTTTCTATTTCTAAAATATGATTATTTACATGTAAAAGCTTAACCATAATGAAATTTATTTAGGGAAAAAATGGGGGGAGGTGCGGGGGGAGCCCTCGCCCCGCGGCAGGAGCGGGTGCGGGGCTGGGGTGGACGTTTGGCAGGAGTAGACTAGGTAATTTCGTAACCCTTTTTTCCCCTTCACTAAAGTCACACGTAGGAGTCTTTAAAGTTAAGTTTGTTTAAAAGGTAAGGGTAGCTGAAAGAAGAATTTGCTCGCTTCCCTCGCGATATAGGAAAACCGTAATTAGTTTGTGGCCAGTTCGGGGTGGGGTAGATCTGGAGCTGAAGAAAGAGCTCAGCCCCCCTCCGCCTTAGTCATTCAAGTCCAAGCAGCTTCCAGAAGAGCCAAATCTCGAAACCAAACACCCGCCGCCCCCCCCGGCGGGGGCCCTGGGGCCGGGCGGCGGAGCGCTCCGAGGGCGCCGGCAGGACCCCTCTGTCCCCCGCCGCCGCGGGAGGGAGGGATGGAGGGAGGGGAGCGCCAGCCGCCAGCCAGCCTTTCCCCTCCTCCCTGCCTTCCCCCAGAGCGCATTCCTGAGCTCCTCTCCTCGCTCCCTCCCCTCCGTGCCGTGGTTACCCTTACCCCGGTTTTAGGAGATGGTGCGGAGAAGGGGGGGGGAGGGGAAGGAAAAAAATAAGGGGGGAAACCCTCCCGGGGGGAGCGGGGACCCGCGCGGCCGGGGCTGCTTCTCCCCCTCCCACTCGCTCCCCGAGTCCCCCGGCACCGCACGGCGGCGGCCAGGGCGGGGAGAGCCCGCACTTCCCCTTTGTTTTAGGCTCCCCAGCGGGGCCGGGAGCGTGCGGGGAGCAGCGGGGAGAGCGGAACAGGCCCCGGGCTGCCCCCGCCGCCCAGGCGGGCTGGGGCGGGAGGGCGAGCAGGATCCCCGGAGCGGGGGAGGCAGGGTAGGGCGGCGGGGCGGGGGAGGGGGCGGCCGGGCAAGCGCTTTTACCTTCGTCCAGCAGCCTCTCGAGGTGGTTGAAGATCCCGCAGAAGTTGGGGAGGCTGCTCATCAGCTTCTTGTCGTTCATCAGCTGCATCAGGTAATCGGGGCTCGGCTTCGGCTTCTCCTTGGTTTCCATTTCCCCAACCATATTCCAAGCCCGCGCAGAGACGGCGAGCGCCCGCAGCAGCTACGCCGAGCAACGCGACCGCGGCACGGGGCGCCCGGCTGGATCCGGGCGGGCAGGGAGGCGGTGGGGGAGGGGAGGGGGCGGGGAGGGGAGCTTCCCCGAGGAAGGAGGAGAAGGAGGAGGATTCAAATCCGGAGACAAACGCAGACCCGCCGCTGAGTCCCAGGGACCGAGGGGAAAAAAAAAAAAAAAAAGAGGAAACTCGGTAGAAACCCCCGTGCGGGCTGCGCCCTCCTTCCCGGGCACAAGGACCCGCCGCCGCCTCTCGGTGCCGCCGCTGCTTCCCTGCTCCGTGCGCCCTCGGCCGGCGCAGTCCTCGGTGTGTCCCCCCTCCTCCTCCTCCTCCTCCCGCGCACACACACGCTGAGCCCGGTTCTCCTCTCGGCGCTGCCCCCTGTCTTCGCGGCGGGGGAGGGAGGGAGGGAGGGGACGAGCGGGGCGGGCGGGCGCTGCTGGCGCGGCTGCCGCTTCCGAGGAGCCGCCGCCGGTGTCTCCCCGCTGTTGCCGCCGCCGCTGCTGCTGTTGTTGCCGCCGCGGTGCGCTTGGCGTGTGTCCTCCTCCTCCTTCTCCTCCCGCCCGCCCGCCCTACCGCCGCCGCCGCCGCTGCTGCTGCTGCTGCCGCTGCCGCTGCCGCTGCCGCCGCCGCCGCCTGTGGCTTGGTGAGTCTCAGCCCCGCCGCCGCCGCCTCCTCACTTCTCCTCAGTTCGCTCCGGAGTTCGCTTCAGTTCAGGCTGCGCTGGCAGCGGCGGCGGCGGCAGGAGGGGAGGGGGCAGGGCCCACGGGGGTGGGACATGCCGGGGGCGGGACCAGGGGCGGGGCGGCCGCTCCCGGCGGCGGTGGCGGTGGCAGCGCCACTTGGCGGAGCCACAGCTGTGCCTCCCTCGCTCTCTCCCTCTCTTCCGCTCCGGGAGCCCGGGGCGGCGGCGGCGGGGGGACAACCAGCTTCCCGTGCGCCCCCGCCCCACCCGGCCCCGCCCCGCCCCGCCGCGCGGGAACACGAGCGCGCGCACGGAACTCTCCCAAACAAAGTCGCGTCGCGGCGCCTTCGCCGCCAGGGCGGGGGCGGGGCCGGGTCACGTGCGCCCCCCGGAGGCGGGGACAGCCCCGCCGGGGCGCGCGTGTTCGCGCCGCTCCGCGCTGCCCTGGTGTCGCGCGGCGGCGGGGCTGGGGAAGGGGGAGGGGGCAGGTGTGTGCGGGGGCTGCGCTCGCGCCTGCGCACGCGGGCGGTGGGCGGTGCGAACGGCGCGAGGAGCGATTCCCGGTCGGTACCGGGGCCGCGGGGGCGGGCGGGGGACGGGGAAGCCTCGGGAGCGCCCCGGCCGCCACCGGCGGGGAGGAAGAAGCGGAGCTGGCGGGAAGCCGTTCTCCCTGGATGCGCGGAGCGAGTCGCGGTCTGTCCGTGCAGGCGGCGACGGCGCGGCCGCACGCACGGCCCTTGTCCCGCACGGCCGCCCTGCGGGCACCGCGCAGCGGCCAGGCCAGCCCGCGGGTCCCGTCGCGCTCCTGCCCGCCCGGGCCGCGTCGGCGGGGCTTCTTGGAGCCCTTTCTGCTCGTAGGGCAGCGCCGCGTTTGGGCATCGGCTCTGGCTTGTTTGGCGGGTGTGTATGGGAGACGTGCTGGGAGCAGCGGTGTCCGGCAGCCAGGACCAAAGTTTATATGCTCCATCCACTGCAGCTGCAGGGGCAAAGCAGCGCGGCGCGGTTGCTTGTACGTATTCCTTCTTCCCCACGCAGCTACTCGGTGTTCTTACTTGGTTTTTATTACTTAAGAGATCATCAGGAAGCTTTGATGTAGTTTTCGATAGCTTGGTAGAGCTTTTTTCACAAAGCTAGATAAAAATCGCTGCATTCTTCATGTAGCTCGCTGAAGACAGTCTTTTTTAATAGGGCTGGGTATAAAGTCTAGCTGTTGCTTGAAGTTCTGTGAAAAATCTCCATGTATTTCAATACATACTGCACGGTGTTTGAAGATAGATTAATTGCAATGAATCAATGCTTCCCAAACTAAAAAGAAACAGACACGTCACATTGACAGGTGTACAGTGTCATTGGGTAATGTCAAGCAGGGTTAACTGCTTTTCCTGAAAGATGTGTATTGACAAAAATGTAGAGATAGCATAGTTCTCATAGTAGTAAAAATGCCTTGCATTCCGTCTAGTGTTTATAGTATATTTCCCCTTTAAACAGGCAGAGCTCATTATTTGGACATGAGAATTTTTATTTCATTTCAGGGGTTTGTTTACATTAAGTAAAAATTAATGGCTTATGTAAGGTAAGTCAATTTTATTGCTCCCATCATTAAAAAAATTATATAATCAGTCAGAAAACATTATCTTTGTTATCAAAAAGTAGCAATGTTACAAACCATTTTTTAAAATATAGATTCTTAGTTCATCAATAGCATGCCCACAGCACACCGCAGTATGGCTATGGATGACAAAACAGTGTGGTTTCTCTTTAGTAACATGATTGTGTTTGCTCTTTTCCAACCTTGTTTTAGGATTGTGACAAGCTAAAATACAACCTTACATGCTTAAGAAAATTGCCATCCTTTTGCTTCTTGTAGACCAGTCTGGACAATGATGCATTTTTGTAGCCCTTTACTTGCTGATTTTTAAGCAGTGAGTGAAGGCTCTTTTTAACCCTGAGAAAACATGCTGTCAAATCCTTCCATTTGATTAGGGCATCCGTCAAACAGCAAGCTTTCATCCTAAAATTAGATAAACATAGATGATGTTAGAATAATTGTTCTGGACTGATGATTCTCACAGTAAAAAGAGCATATGGAGACTTTTTTTTCAGCAGATTTGGTGCAGCTGTTCCCACACCACTTCATTATTGCTTCCTGCACATAAAGTGTTTCCAGTTCTTGAATAGGAGAAGGCAATACAAGGTAAGAAATACCAGCACAAGTTGTTGTGCAGTAACTATCAGTTGTCTTACCTACTAATAGGAACAATAGATCTTATCATATGTTATTTTGTGCTTATTTACTGGAGAATGAAATGGTGCACGCCAGCAGTTCAGGAATCACTCATGCAGCGCAATGCAAAATTCAAGCCCTAGTTTGCTATATGTTCATCTGAATTATTTTCTTAGAACAGTACAGAAATTGAGACAAAGCTAGATAATAAAGCTGCCCATTTAATTAGGCATAAGTGACAGAAAAATTTCATATCCTTTATTTTTTCTGTAAATACTTCAAGACTGTGAATTTAAATCTTTAGAGAAAAGCCTGTGGAAAAGCTGAGTGTTTTAATAAAATGCAGATCATTCAGCATTAGTTTTAAATAAGCAAATCAGCATGATATCTTTCTTTATCAAAAACACAGTAAAACCAAAAAAGCTACCTAAAAACCCCTCTCAGCATACCTTATGTTCTTCTTTCTGCCTTTACCTTCCCACACTTCCACATCCTAGGAAAGGGTGTTTTAAGAGTTCCAAGGAGATGAAAGTAGAATTAGTTCTGGTTAAAGAGCTGTGAGAAGGTATAGCTCCCATTGAGACTGGCATGACTACAGCCTGATCTACAGAGGCACTAGAAATACTCTTACACTGTCTTAATTTTCCTGTGTTCCCATGGGGAAAGAAGGCAGGGGAGAGGACATGACGCAGGACTGGGTAAACAGGTTCTGTGAGTATGGGTGAGAGGTTGTGTGGTCTTGATGTGAAGGGGAAGGGGAGGGGGCAGAAAGAGAGAAGTTGATTAGTCTGTTTCAAGATAATTGGGTCCTGTGGTCTTGTAGAGTTCTTTAGGTAAGTACTCAAGGTCTTAACTTCAGTCTAGACACAAGTAGAAGGCCCTATCTTTAACTCTTGTGTTTTCATCTAGGTAGCCTTTCTTGTATTGTGTAACCTGTAGTAGTCTCCCAACAGTTTCTCTTTTAAGGTGAAGTTTTATTGCATTAATCTAATCTCGAAGTTAGAAAAATTATGATAATGTGAGCAGCAGCCTCTATATATTACAGTAAAGGCCTGCAATGATCATAAAAAGCAAATTCAATAACTGCTATAATGTTCATAGCTGATAACACCTTGGGAAATGGGAGATCCAAAGGCTAATGACTCCTGGGAAGCATACTCTTTCAAAAGTGTTGGCTATTACTTCCAGCATCTCCGTTGACCAAATCATAGGCATATACTGTTGGATGTTGTCACTCTTCTGCAGTGCTGTCTGTATCAGGAAGATACCACTGTGCTATACTACCCTTCTTTAGGGAAAGAAACAGTTCTTCACTCAACCATTACAGCCACTTGAAAAAAAACCCCACACTGTGTGTGTGATTCATTATTGACTTGTTCATGGTGTACAAGGTTGTAGCTACTGTAACTGTAATGCAGTAGTCAGACATGCCCAATACCAGATGAACATTTGAAATTCATTTATCTTTTAAGCAAGGTGCTTAATTCAGTAACAGAATAAGGTCTAGAGCCAGACTAAAAATCTTGAGAACCAATTAGATTGAAATTCTGTGCAGTGTCTGACAATGAAAAGCATATTTCTCTTGACATTAAGCCAAACCAACAGGTAACTTTTCAAACAGAAGCTAAAGTAGCATGTCGTTCAAAGTAATAAGCAGATGATGTGTTCATAGTCTAAAAAGGGACATTTCTAGGTGTTCTGTGTAATCCTGGAAGAGATAATGCCTAAATTTGTCCACTAGTGATGTTAAGTGATCGCTGAAGAAGTAGAAGATACAGGTTTTAAGCACACTTGAGTCTGGAAGGATTCAGATTTGTATCTTTTATACTTAAATTACATCAATCTGTACAACAACTTGTGAAGAAGGGTGTGGTAACCCACAGTATCACTGCTGGTAGAACTGGCTATTCCTCATGTTGGAATAAAGAAGGCAGAAAAAGAGATACCTTTGTGATTCACCCACTTATACAAGAGTAGGAATTGCTGCATTCTCACTGTTCCTGTGGTTGTGTGTTAATTATGCAGTCATTAAACTGGGAAAAAAAGACAATGCTAAGTAAAATAAAAGAAGTATTTTTCCACCTTTGATCTAAATCTTGTACCTAGCAGTTTTCTTGGTAAGGTATTACTTCATATACCTTATGTTACTGTTATAGGATACTGTTACATAGATAGGATGGAGAGGCCTAAATTCTGCTTCCTATAATATTAAACGTTTTATGTAACTCTGAGTAGTTACGGAAGGCATGGATATCTCTGTTTTGGGCTTCACCCTACCTATCTGCCAAATAGTCATTGGTATGCACAGAAAAGATGTAAATCAATATATAATAGATTACATCTACTTTCCAGATTACCATGGAATGATTGCCTAGTAGATTGTATTTTTAAGTAGATTATTTCCATGGGTATGCAATGGCCGTACATGCAGTTTCTTTAAGTACTATGTAGGCTTTTCTCCAGAAAAGATAGCATTCTAGCAACAAGAAAAGGTGTGTCTGTCTAGAGAGGGTGGTAGTTCTGCTGTACTCTTGAGAAATCTCTGCATTGAAAACGAAGTTTAAATTGGCTACATTTCACATTCTTCAGTAGGAGATGAAAATGAAGTCTCATATATGCCAGTTTTATTACGGTGTTGCTGAGAAAGGCAGAAAACAGTGAGAAGGAGGGAAAGAAAAGCAATCTAACAAGGCACAGAAAAAAAAATACCAGCAGTTACAGAGAGAAAACTAAATTGAGGTAGTGCATTGTAAACATAAAATTTACCCACTTTATCATCTCCTTCATAACAGCACTTAAATTTTAAAAGCCGGGGGGAAAAACTATTTACAGAACATATTTGAATCCTGTATTTTGAAGGTGTGTTTTACCTCTAAGCTCATAAACATTCCTACATCTTATAATTTATGAACACTTGCATTGTTTTAGTGCATTTTACTGTTGGATTATGAGTAATCGATGCTCTGCCTAGGTCAATAAAAGAGGCAAAGTAATCTGTTGAAATACACCATGCACATTTCCAGTGGTTCTAATCCCATGCACAGTCCTATAGCTTCAGTTAGTGTGCTAGATATGACTCTTTCCATCTCGGCAGTCACAAAATTACTACCTTAGCGGCATAGCTGTGCTCACATAATGGGGAATTTCAGATGGCTTCTGGCCTGTCACTTTTGGAAGCAAAATATGAGCCAATCTGTGCCACACATTGCAAAGCGGGAGTAGCAGTGAGTGTGTATTACTGTAAGTGCTGCCCAAATCTGTGGAGACACTGAATTGACCACTGCTAAATATGATATCTGTCATTGGGAGTCCAGCTAACACCCATTCAGGTTTAAAAGACTGCAATATTATTATTATTATTATTATTATTATTATTTGGAAATAATGAATATTGAGAGATCTTGGCCATTATTTCAGACATACTTGGTTTTTTACCTTCTATCTGTTTTGAACTAGATACCTAAATTTAAAATTATTCAGGATAACATTCTGCATTTTAATTGATGCAGTCATTCACCTACAGTACTGCCCTCAGCAGCTTTTTAAAATTTGCTATATGTAACTAAAAATATAATGTTGAAAGACATACTTTTGTGTAAGATATATAATCAGAAGTATTTTACTTGTAACCATAGTGAGAAATGTTTTCACTTTTACTATAGGATTAAAAAAAATAACAAAAAGTCCATATCAGGGAAATTTGCAGATTTATTTTGGCAACCACAGTGGCAAAGAGCTGACATGTAAAGAAACAGCTAAGTTCTGTTTCTCGGGTGCACTCTCTTTTGCTAAAATAGTATGGTGTGTTGGTTACTGTGAAATATAAATATTTTCAGTCTTAACTTTGTAAATAGATTTAAAATAAACATTCTTCTCAATTACCACTAAAACCAAATAGAATTTATAATGCAATTCAAGTATTATTTCAACTTTTCCTTTTTAACATATGTGAAATGTGAATGTAAATGTATATTGACTTACACTGTGGGATTGCTAGTGATGTGTTGCATATGCTTCTTAATGTTCAGTACTCAAAGAGCAGCAGTTCTTACACAAGGAGCTTATATTTAACTGGACAGAAAACATCTAGACAAATTGTAAGAAAACAAGCATTTTCTTAAACTTGCTCAAAATACTTTCTATTTTCCAAGTCATTATTAAACGTAAACCCTTTTTTATGTATTTAATGGTAAAGAGAAGTATCTGGAGCTACAAAGCTGTGAGAAAAGAAGGGGACTAAGCAATATGAATGCCTATAGCTTCTGGAGATTGAGACAGAGTTGCTCAACAGTGTTCATCCAAAGCAAAGGACAGAGCAATGCTATAGTGGTTGTTGTTTACCCACACAAAGACCATTGTGTTTCCATGCTGTAGTATGCTCAGAAGCTTGCTGTCTTCTTTATCTGTCCATTGCTATTTGTGCCTTCTTTCTAAAAGGAAGCATCAGTGTTCAATTTCTTAATGTTTTTTTATGGTACTTTTGCACTTTAGGAAGCCTAAAGTTTGTTTTGATTGTGGATTACTTGATGTCTCCCATTTTTTCCTCCTACCCACAGTCTTTCTGTTGAGTGTGGGAGACTTTTCCTGGAATATAGTAGCCACACATATTTGAGTTATGATATGCCCCAGAACCTACTTCACAGTTTTCTACTCGTCAGAAGCTATGAAACACTTTGTAATCAAGTACCTCAAGTTGCTTGAATGAAAGGCAAGTGCACAGACTTATTGCTTAAGCACTTGGATAAATTCAGAATTTCCTTGTAGAAACAGGAAGCATCCCAAATCTCATGCCATCTTTGTTAGACTTTGTAGGCTGGTGTATGTTAAGTCCCAATTTGTCACCAGAGTTCAAAGGACAAGTCTTAACAATCGGTAAAACACAACTCTTGGGCTCAAAGCCAAAAGATGAATGTTTCTGAGTTATTTGCTTATCTAGGAGATGTGACTCATTTTGTGTTACAGTCATTTAAATACAAGATCATATAATTTTATATAGCTGATACTGGATCTGATTACTGTTTAAAATGAGTTCATTGCTTGATCAGAGTAAGTAATTGTTACAAGTTTATAAGCACAATAAAGGATAGGATTCACTAGTACTCCACTTGAATCTCCAGAAGGTCACTTTAATTTCATAGTTTGCAGATGTTTTTTACACCTTTTGGATGTCTGGAGTGGCCACTGCAAACTGTTGAGCCATCAGCTGCATGCAGAATTGTTTTCTATTAACCACTTTTGCTCTCGGAATAGTCTGAGCAACAGCTTGGGTTCAGGATTTTGACAAGAACTAAATTACTTGTTGAAGGTAATGCAGTCATTCCCAAGCTTTTGGCTTGGTGTGTTAGTATTTTACATTCATCAAGTCATTGTGTTGGCCAGACCACAGAGCGGGGGGGCAAGGGAATAAACTGAAAAGTTCACTACGGTGTAGAGTGGAAATACATGCAAAAATCACTGCAGCTAAATTTGAAGTGTCTGGAAATTATGCTTTACACTGCTGGCCATCTCTCAAAGTCTCACAATTTTTGTTATTATTCTTAGTTTGAAATGTTTTGTGTTTGGTTGCAGATTGTGACTGAAATACAGGGAAGGGAAACAATGCATTTCCTGTAAATTCAAATGACTTCTGTACAGATCCAGTTCACACGAGTCCAGATATTCCTGTTCATTTAGAACATGAGAAGTTTTCATGTACATATCACAGCTTTTCTCATAACTTGTAGAAGTTTTTAAGGATGCTTCTCTAATAGGCAGTTTTATATTATGAAAGTTATTGTATAATTTATAAATAAAAGTGATTACTGAAATATTAGTGTTATCTCTTAGGGTATTCATATATAAAAATATATATATGAAAGTTTCATGAGCAGTTTTCTTCACCTTTTAGGTATTTACATAACTTATCAAATTGTTAAAGAAAAGTTATTACACTTACATTGATTACAGGTTTTCGTTTGAACAGAACAGGTATGAAATTGTCTCTGGTTTTAGCAGACACCCTCTCTACACATCCCAAATCCTGATACAACTAAAGAACTGTAACCCTGTCAGCAGAGCAGAGAAATGCACAAATCAGTTTCCCAGAGGGTACACTATCCAATACACTATCCAATTTGGATAACAGTGCTGTTTGGATATGTATTAACAAATGAATATTTAGTCTGGTCTGACAGTATGCTCAAAAAACAACAGGTTGTGGCTGGAACTATACAGAAAACATTATTTGAGGCAAGGCAGTGAAAAGTACTGTGAATTTTTGTTGTAATGTTTTGATAAAAGAAAGCATGAAAACAGTTGTTAAGTAATTACACAGCCTTCCTTCTTCCCACCCTAGAAAGGTCTGTAAAGTCTGTTATTTAGGAAGCCGGCAAAACATTTCTCTGTTAGAGGTGGAGGAGAGGCACTGCTTGACTTAAAGCATTTCCCCATCTCTAGAATGTTTCTACTTGCTTTTGAGGATTAATGACATAGCCAATTAGATGACCAATTTTCATGCCAGAGGGTGGTCTTCCCCTCAGTAAGTCAATTAAAATATACACTCTTTCCTTGGTTTTCCTTCCAGGTAGTCTATTTATAGTTATCCATCTGATTTTCATTACTAGAGGCATAATTGATCTTTTGTCCCATTCTGAAGTTTGTATTCACCTATCTTACAGGTTAGTAGACAAATTAATTATCCCTCTGGCTACAGATATATCTTGGTACTTCAGGAGAAGTTTGTCAGTGTAGGTGGAGTCCTTTGGGTTAGAATGACACAGGGTGATTAGTGGGGGAGCCAGAGCAGCTTGCATGCTCATGCTTGTACCTGTTGTTACATTGATGTGGTCACTATCAGGGTTTTGAGGAGGTCTGATAACAAAAACCAAAAACCCACTTTAGCAGAGTTCATTTAAGGAAGAGATTGAAATAGAGATTAATTTGAAAATAATATATTTGGACTTTTCTGTTATCATGAGTACATAATAGAAGACTAACAAGGTAGTAAGATAAGCGAATATTATATGACTAAAATGACCATTTTGAATATACTATTTATATAATTTTGCTGTAGTTAATCTGATTGATTGGAGTTCAATGAATTCAGTGAGTTACATGTATTTCATTCTAACTTTGTTTTTACAAAAAACAAAAAGTTGCTCTTTTGTCTGCTTATGATCAAGATTTTAGTGGTCTTTATGCCCTTTTGGCATAAAAAGAACACCTAAATATAGTAGTCGTAGATCAGGAGTCATTGTATGTAGGTATTGTGATGTAATCCTTCAGAATTAATTTGATCTCAGATCATAAAATAAAAGTATTTGTTGAGTGTATTACACATTCCCTCATTTTTTAAAAATTAAAATAAAAAAATTTGCAGAATCCTGAACAATTCTGTGACACTGTTCAATTGTGCAAATCCATTCAATCTTAAATTTTACTGGGGTTCTGGGGTTTTATCTGTAATTTTTGACAGTGTTGTATGTTAGAAATGGAGTTTTATATGTAAATATATACATCACTTGGTCCAAATTGTACGGGTTTGTATCTGTACACTCTGATCTCATTATCACTCATTAATTGTCAAATTACCTAAAATTGCTTTCCATATAACCCAGTTGCTTTTATGTGTCCTTTTATGTTATTGTTTTAAGTCTGTATGTCAGTGTGTGGGTAACAAACAGGTAGAAAAATTTCTCCAGCTTCCCAAACATGAAGTATTTTTCTTCTCCTCTCAAAAAATTACACCATAGAACAAAACTAGGAAGAAAGCACGCACATCCTTTGCAAAGCCAGTCTGTTGGGTTATGCGCAGAGCACAGCCAAGCACTGAGACTGAGATTGTATTGACAAGAACAAGATGAATGGCCCCCTGGAGACTATGGGGTTTGTATGCTCGTTTCCACCACCTTTTCATCCTTTTGTACCCCCTTTCAGTTCATATGCAGATTAACTCAAACCAAGTCCACACTAAATACTCTTTTTCACTTTAGTTTTGGAAGGTAGGTGGAGGATCTAAATATTTATGAGGCTTTTTTCCTCTGGTTTATGATGCACTCTTGTTGAACGTTGAGGAATTACGTTAATGAATGCATGCCTGCACACACAGACACAGAAACCAGGCAAAAGGAAAAAAAACACACAAAGCGTTGTCAGCTCTAATGTCGGCGCTTACTAAAACAGTTCCCATAAAAAAAAAAAAAGGCAAAAGAGATTTAAAATCCATTGCCAGGAGAAAAATAAATTGTATGACTGAGCACGAAAGAAAGAACAAAGTTTCATCTTTGCTTTCCTCAGTCGTAAATGGAACTCTTGTTTCAGCTCTGACTAAATTTGAAATAAAACGTGTTAATTGAAAAATGAAAGCTTGTCTAAAAAGTCTTAACTGGATTTGTGTTTTCAGTAATGAAGAAAAGGCAAAGCTTTGGTCCTGTACAGTTTTCCTTTAACATAGGTAGCAGTAAACATGGTAGTATTTTCTGGTATGATAAAAGGTACAGTTAAGTGTGCTTTAATGAGACAAGTCAGATAACTCAGTGACACTGGTTTTGCCATGATTTTGCCAACTTCGGTACATTTATTCAGGAGAGTTAGTTTTTGCGAGACTAAAGGTTTTTCTGAAAACTAAACTGTCTTTTTTTTTCAAAATTAAATGGAATATACTGAGAGTATAGCTGGATATACTAGAATATTTATTTTCAAAATCGTTAGTTCAGAACTAACTTAAGGAATATGCCTTTTTTAGATGGAAGACTACATGGCATTAAAATACTGAAATATGAGTATTTTAATTCTTTTAATACTGCATTGTCAAGAAGAGTCAACTGTTTGACTTTTAATCATCTCTGCCTTCCTTCTACCCTTTTTATTCTCCAAAACACACATAGCAATCCCAGACAGGGCCACAGTTCACACAAGTGGGACAGTAAATTCTTTCACATTCAGGAACCAGAACATAAGATTTTAAAATGTACTTTTGTGCTATAATTTAAAACCTACTGAAAAATTGCAAAATACTAGCTCTTCAAGTGCAATAGTATTTAACTGTCTAAGCTCAGTTTTTCATGTTTATAATATGCCTAGCTGAAGTTACTAAAACATTGTCCTAACATTTTCATCTTTTTATTGTACTTTGTTTTCAAGATATTCAGTTTCATATGTAATTAAATCCAATAAAGCCATGTATATTTCATTTATTCTAAAGTTATTATTTTCCATCTTAAAATGCAGATTTTGCTATTTTCAATGACTTTGCCTGTGCTATTCAAGGGTTAAGTGAAAAAATTTGGTTTAGCAGATCCCAAAACAGTAAAGAGGTATACAACATAAAAACAAATTAGTATTTAACAACTGAAATTGCATCACTTTTGTTTAATCTTTCATCCTTTAGCCTAAATCTTCTCCCTCTTGCCTTTTTTTTTTCTCCCTACATAGCCAGTTGTGACCACAGATACAGTATTAGATATTACTTAAGTACTTAAGCTCCTTAATGTGAACAAAAAAATCTCAGTTCTGTCTCTTAACTGGGGAGATTTCAAACTTACCTGGATTTGTCCATCCTGGGCAAATTGAAGCACTTATGTAGTATCTTAGCAAAACAGATTTGCACATCCGTACAGTGAAATGCTTCTTTCTGTGGGTGGATTTGCAGGTGGGGGATGCACGACTTCCTTATATATATGTATAGCACACAGTGGATTAATAGGAAAATGAAGAAAATGCAGCAAGCTAATAAATGTTGGAAGAGAAAGCATCAGGGAGATGGGATACTTGAATACGCTTTGAAGAAGGAAGATGCAGGTGTAGAGGCAGGCATAGGACAGCTTTTATGTGGAGGACAGTAAGGGAAAAACAAAGTTGAGAGACTCCTTGGCTTGAGCAGGGGGCTTTGGGGCTCCCTTTAAGCTATTAACACTCCCAAATGGCAGAAAAAAATAGCACACCAGCCAAGGTCCTTGAAAGTAGTTTTTTGGGGGGGATAAGAAAGGTGGATGAACTATAGGCCTAAATCAGGGAACAGGCATGTTCTACAGGACAAGAGTCCTGTAGAAGGCTTTATTTTATAATACCAAATAAGTACAGCCCCCACCCCCAAAAAATTATTATGATGATGATAATAATGAATAAATAAATAAATAAATTCAAAATCCCCAAAGCCAAGGAGGTTATAGCCCACAGGAGTGCCATATTAATGATAAGGAAAGCAATTATCTGTACTTTTCCCAAAAGGAAATGGCACAGGAAAATACAAGAATGTACAAAGATGAGCCCAAGGTAGGCATGTGCCTGTCATCTGCATCTAAGTCCAGCGTGCTGGTGTTAAGGACAAGCCTGCTTCTCCAGGCTCAGAGGTTCATGTGGAAAGGGAGGAGCCAGAAAGTCCTGCTTCCAGACGATGAAAACGCACAAATAAAACACTGATGCTTTCAGTGGATTCTTAAATGCAAGACCATGAGCCTACTTAGTGATCTGCCCTAGGAAGTTTTGCTTTGAAAACAGCTAAGGGTGCAAGCACATTGTTCACTCTCCTGATCAGAGAATCCCACAATGGATTCAGACTTTAGGTCCCTGGGCAAAATCCTAATTCCTATGGGGAAAACAACAAAAAGAAGAAAAGGTCATGGAACTGATTGTAAGGATCCAAATCACAGTGCTGTCAGGATTACCAAACAGGTTGAGATTTCCAGCAATAGAAATTCCCCTTTGGTTGTTTGTACTCACTTTACATTTATACTATTTTTCCATTCAATTTGCTCAAATACAGAAGTCACAAGATATGTAAGAATTTAAAAAAAAACCCCACAACTGGAAACCACCAAACACAAAACCCACACACCACTAGAAATTGCAGGTAAGTTCTCTCAGCACTCAACTTTTGTGGTGAACACTAAAAATGAGCAATCTTCCTTTTTCCTATGGCTGATTCTGAAGTGTTATCACATTATATCTGAAGGCAGTGGGGTGCAACCATGTGTTTTCAAGAAAGTACTTTCATGAGTCCACTTAATCTTGAGGCTGGTATCTTTCCAAGTGGCATTCTGCATAAATTTGCCTTTTTTTTCCTTCCCAAAAAGAAATTTCCTACAGATGAATCACAGCATTCTAAATGGAATCTGCCACCTGCCTCAGCTATGAGAAGTCTAGCTGTTTCCATACTAGTTTAACAGTCATCTCGCAGATGGGAGATGTATCTCCATGGATGGCACTGAACTGAAAGGAAATCTGAAGGGCTTGGTTTTTTGGGGGGAGTTTGATGTATCTGCTTACAGTATTTGTCTTTTGCTGCCTGAACAACTGATTTAGGTGTAAAACTTGAAAATTCTCTGTCTCCTGCACTCAAGAGATGCCTCAATTTCTGCTGATAGATAGAACTAGAGCTCTTAGCCGACAGAAAGGTACAAACGGCTGAAGCCACAATTACCAAAATGAGATGTCCTAAGACAAATTCTCAAAAGACATTCCCCTCTAACATTAGGGGGGGAAAGGCAATTTTGTTCATCATCTCTGAAAATATTGATAGAGCAGGCCTACAAATTTTTTTAAGTTGTTATGGGTGATGCTGGCGTTTTTCTTCTTATACAGAAGCAATGTTCAAACTCCTAGTTCAGATTCATAAACATAGTTCTATTAAGACTCCTCTGCCAATTCAGTGTCCAGGAATATCCTTCAGATGCCTAACCTTCATTAATTAATTGATGAAGGAACCTGAGCCTACCTCTAGACACAAAGATTTATTACCTTGGGTACAGAACTTCTTCAAGTGTCCTAACAGAAAGGCTGTAAGATGCTGGTGGAGTAAAACAGAACACCATTCCTCCCTCTGACATAAATCAGCCTCAGATTTCTTCATAAATCATCAAGAGGTTAGCTGTTGTTCTTCAGGTAAACAGCTTCCAATAGCAACAGTGCTGACCTAGGAAGGAGGAAGGTGGATTTGGGAGATTTTTACTCTCCAAGAACAGTATTTTTCTTACCCTGCTTTCTCCTGTTTGATTTTCTCCATGTAAAGGGGGAAGGGCAGAAGAATAGGGTTCTCTTTGATAGCTGTTTTCTTACCTGTTGCTTTTGCCAGCAGAATCTTCACACTTTATAGATACAGAGTGATTATTTGAAAGGCAAAAGAAGATACAGGTAAAACTTGCACACCTATTTGAAGGAGAACAGAATAAACTAATATGGAACCTGTACAGTTATTCCAAGAATAAATATTCCCTGTTCCCAAACATCATAATTTGCCTCCATTCCATTTCTTGACATTTTTTTAAGCAATAATGTTGCTAATTTGATTTTCAAGGATTTTCTTTATAGAAGTATGAGAATTTTGATTTTAAGAACTGTTGGATATCAGGAATTAAATCAATGGAGGAAGCTTACAGAAGCCTCAAGAATCATTTAATCCTAAAGATCACCTAGTGTTCCTAAACCGTGTGAACGGAATTTGTGCCCGTAAGTGTAATGCCACCAAATATCAATGCTCCTAAGTCGAGTATTAATTACGTAGAATTTGGGAGCATTCTAAAAGTGTATTACTGCATCAAATATCTTTTTATTTTTTCATTTGTCAAAAAAAAGTAATCGTCAAAGCTGGAAATTGATCAATTAACATTTTGTGATATTTGTCTGAAGAAGGTAAAAGGGTTTGTTTTGTTCTTTAAACAGTTTACTAGAGTGATTTTTAAGAATAATGTCATCTAAATAAGAACAATGATCTAGAAAGACACTGAAGTGAGACTAAAGAAATCTGAATTTGATGTCAACTTTTGATACAGGTTTTTGTCTGCATCTCCACTAAAAAGTTAAACAAACAGAACCAGGACTGAGCTGCAACCCTAATGCTGATCACCGTGGGCTGGCCATGTTCATACTGTTAAGGTTTTATCAGGTTACAGCATGGTAACCTGTCAAGTGGTGCCCACAAGTCTTTGGGAAAGTGCTAGTTGACATTGAGGGAAAACTGTCCTGGGGCTCTTCTGACACCTGAGCAGCACTGCCACTGGGATGCATTCCCTTGCACTGTTGAATTTCTCAGTGCACATGTAATATCCATGAGTTTGATCAGACAATGGGACTGTTCTATCATTAAGTGCCCCATTAGTGGGGAATAACTATATTTCCTTTCTTCCTCTTCTTATCTGCTACATCTATTGGGATTATGGTATCACTGGTAAAAATAATCTCTCTCTGTTATGGGTAAAACATCTATTACAGTCAGATCATAGCTTTCCTTTGAAGTTATTACATACTACATTAATTAGAGTAGCAACAAAAAGATTTCCAAAATTTAGAAAAGCCTGATAAAAAAAGGAAATCTTAGCTCCCCTCACAAATATATATATTTCTGTGTGTGACTCTGTAAATATACTAATATACGGTAGATGTGTGTATATATTTTTTTAAATATACTATGCAAGAGTTCTTCATTACTGCATTCCTCTGCCAGCAGAATTAAGATAACAATCTAATACACAGCTATTTGAAAGAAATGTTCTAGCTAATTAAATAAGCTTATTCTTGCATTATGAATGACTCCTCCAAATACCTGGATATGTTTCCACATAGGGATATATGACATTTCACTCAAAACTGACAGTGTTTAACAAAGAAAACAAAGGTAATTAGTCTTTTCTTGATAATCTTTTATATTATCTTTTAAGATCAGGTTACAGACCATATCATTTAAATTATAGCACAAAAAAAACTACTTAAGAAAGATGAAGTTGCTGCAGAAATGAGGGACATCACAAGTAAAATAGAACCCAAGCATGGGACAGGTGTTTTAATGCCTCCATAGTTGAGAGTGAATTTCCTTCTAACACTAGTAGCTGTACATGAAACAAATGTAGTAAAGAAAACAGCAAAAGATAACAGTAACTGCACAAAGAGGGACCTTGCACAACAATACAAAACAAAGAAAACCAACTTAGTAAATTGGAAACTTTAAACCAGGAATTCAGAAACCTCTAAATATTTCTTCTGTTCTTCTAGTAATCATAGTTCCAATTAAAAATGGGTGAAATAGCCATGAAATAAGCAAAGTAGCTGTCTAATCATACTTTGAAATGGCAATCTACAAATACTCCAGACTTCTGGATTTACTAGCTCCATCAAAAATGTGCATTTAGTACTAGCTGCCAACATTTCTAGGGACAAATGTATTAAATCAATACTACAGTGTGTGGCAGAATTTTCTCAAGTGATGGTAAATGATGTGACTTTGCAAACTGATACAGTACCTCCTCCTCCCTTGGTCCAGGGAAAGGAGGGAAAAAAAGGTGATAGAGCCAAACACTTATTAAGGCCCTTCAGACCTGATTAAAGTCAAATTGCAGGAAACATTTACTTTAATATAAAATATGCACAGCAACACAACCGTAGTTAAAAGATATCAATAAATGTTTCCTTTTTGATAAGTCTGATTTAATGTACTGAAATACAGGAATGTTTCTGAAACATCATTCAAGGAAGCGTGAGAAATAAGCAAGCTTAAACATTTAAAACTGAACACCAATTAGCAGACCATTATTTAAAAAAAAAAAATCTGAAATTCAATTTTATTTTGCTTCAGTCAAATGCAACAAAGACTTTGTTTTGAGAAGAATTGGGTTTGAGACTTGAGAAACAGTTTCTGAGTTGGTATCTTCATTCCCAGAAGGCTACATAAGCAACAAAATGTGTTGGATGCTTTAGGTTTTAGCAGTGAATCAGAAAATAAATTTAAGGACAGACTTCCCCATCTGAAACAGAAACTGCGAGGTCAGAAATGGGATCTCTGTCCTGTGCAACTATCTGGTAACAGCACTGAGTTCAGCTTAACCATGCATGTTCTTAGCAATTTCAAGCAAAGTCTTTTGTGTCCATTCACAGAAGCACTTTCACTCCCTTTTGGCCATTTACACCACAGAAAAGCTTTTGCAATTTGCTTAAAACTGCCAAGAACAAAGCTCCAATATCTCTTCTTGTAAAGCTTTCTGTTCCAATTCAGACATGGAGTGTTTGATTTGTGTTGAATGGTGGCTTGCTGGTTGTATTTCAGAGGTGACAACAGAAGAAAAAACTGTCACAAAGAAAGACCTGCAGGAAGAAATGAGGATCCAACATGTCTCCAGGGACAGGAGAGGGCTGAGGAGAGGGTTTGTGTCTGGAGCCAGTGAAATAAAGGTCTGAAATAAAGCAGTGACCGGATTCTTAAATCTCACATCATGCCATGACTGTTCTGTGAAGAAGCCCAGGGCTGCAGAACAAGGAGATCTCTTTACTCTAGAACTTTCTTGCCAGCAAGGAAGAGGAGAATGAGCATTCCTACGAGTGCAACCTGTGAGAACACTCACCTGCATCTGTACTGATCTGGCTTGATTTTGTCACAATGGTTACCTGAGTATTGGTGGGCGCAGTTTTTCCTGTGTGAAAGTGAATGGCCTCAGTTATTCTGCAGTCATGGGATGTGAAGCAAACAGTTACTTTTGTTCAGGTTCTTGTAATTTGGAATAAGAATACGTGAGCATAAATTCAGCAGTGGATTTATACTGCAGTCAGTTCATGAAACCAGGTAACACTGCTTTTTAAACTAGAGAGAAGATTCAAGCCCACTTGACATCAATGGATAACTTAATTCAGTGATGCCAGCACTTCATCCCTAATTTTCCATAAAAATTATTAATATTAAAACATACCTTTGAAAGAGGCTTTTCTTAAAAATAAATAAATAAATAAGTAAATAAAACAGTATTTTTAATTTCAAAGACTGTATTTGGAAAGTTTTAAAATTATGTCTGATACGTACAATAAAAATGGCAAATATTTCTTCTG